GATAGCAAAACTAAATTCAGACCAGCAGAGAGCAATTTAATGACCTGCAGCTGTCAAGTAGTCTCAATGTTAGCTTTTCGAGTTTATAGCACTGTAATCAAAATATATGAACTACTGTTCTCATGTGCTCATTTCCTAGAAACAATACCTTCTGCTACAAAGAAGCAGTGGGTGTGCGCATTGCGGAAAAATATGTTCTCATTTTTTTCTTCTGCTGGTAACCATCAATAGTTAATATCTTAAAAACAACAAAACAGAATGAACATCAAATGAAACGAACACATCTGACCACCTTCTTGTGGGAATAGTGGAAGCATAATTTGCCATTAGTCATCAACATTTCTAGGTGGAATTACAACAACATGCATAAGGCCACAATAAAAAGCAGGGGTCTTTATCCTTTATGGCAGGGGTGGGGAACCTTTTGGCTGCCTCGGGCCGTTTGGACGTTTATAAGATCATTCGCGGGCCGTACAGGATACTCAAGCAAGAAACATAGCCCACTTTATTTGCATGTCGGTTTGACGACAGAGAGACGGCAAGAAGGCAGTGTTAGCCACCTGACGCTCCCTACTTGTTAATCAGATTTACGTTATTACTAGGATTCACTTACAATAAGTTTATCGCATTATGAAAAATAAGCTGTCGCATTCACTGAATCTCGTGTACACCTGCGGTTGCCTCAGCGGCCGGAGGTTCCCCACCCCTGCTTTATGGTAACGGGGTCAAATTTGGCCGACTAATTCGATTACGCAACACCTGGCGCGACGATGGATGACCTGTCTATCATCCGTCCGGCTGCGGGCAGTCATATTGTTACTAGCCTAAGCCTACATCACCGCTTCTTATTGCTACATTGCTCGTACGTGTGCCAGTAAATAAATACTTCCCATTTCCTATTCGCCGCGCACAACCCTCAGCTCAATCAACAAGTACATGCAATCACTGACCAACGTAAGTCGAGCTGTTCATTGTACCACCCGTCACCAGCAACAGTCGCAAACGGGATCCGACGCCTCGAAGAGTCGATACGATTTCGCGATTCCATCTGCCTAAAACCGAAACTGTTTCCCTAACGTTAAGTTTCAAACTCACCAACTGCGCACAACCACCTCCGTCACTCCCGTCTGCAAGCAATGAACCAGTGACTGCAGCTCATACACACAGACACACTGACGCTTAGTCCTGTCAACCGGAATAATCGCAAAGTTCGACCAGTCGAGCACAGGTGTCTATCAGAACAAAGCGCAAAGGTATTACCCTTCGCTTTAGCGGATGGCAGACCGACACGTCCACTTCGGCTATAGTCAACCTGTCAACCGTAACGCAAAGCGCAAGGGTTAACCTGCCAACGGGAACAAAGCACAAAGGTCCACCCGTCCACTTGAATAACAAAGGTTTCACGCCTTACGGGAACGGCCGCGTTCCCGTAAAGCGGAAAGGCCAAAAGCAGCACTGAGGCAGCCCCTGGAGAGAATTGAACTCTCGACCCCTGGTTTACAAGACCAGTGCTCTAACCACTGAGCTACAGAGGCGCGTACTAAAGGACACGTCCACCTGACTTCAATTTAAATGGTAGCTCATGTGAACAAAGATAACAGACTATAAAACAAACCATCGAAAAACAAATGCACTGTGCAACATAATGTGCCCAATATCCTTTCCCCAAAGGCAATTATAGAAGCACGTGAAAGCCAAATCAAATGATATTCCTTCGTGCCCCCTTACGCTGAAACAAATGCAGCTGAATCAGGCTGAGGAGCCTTTTCTGTACAACAGTACCGTGTACATATTCTTCATATAAATTCTGTCCCGTTCCGACTATGCTATTCACTAACTTAACTTACATGCACAAAACCATCGACATGAAACGGTACTAACATCTTTTGTTTAAAAATGGACAGACAGATGTATTCTTGTTTCAGAGAGCATATCCATGTATACAAACAGGCTACCTCTTCAGTAACTCTGATTCATCGTTCAGAGATTGTAATGACACTTCATCTTTTCTTACTACTTTCTTGAGTGAGTTATATTCAGTACTGCTTCATGAAAAACACGACGGACTTTTGCTTCGCTTTCAACTTTCTGAGAAAATAAAATGCCAGTACTTAACTACGTTAACTTTAAAAATAGTAATAACTTAATATCAGGAGCAGCAACAGAATAAGATAGAACAGGCAAGCTGCACTGATTAAAAGAGTAATAAAACCATACCCACGTCGTACGGGACACGGCAGACTTGAATAATTGACAAGAGTGGGATTCGAACCCACGCCCACAGAAGTGGACTGCGACCTGAACGCAGCGCCTTGGACCGCTCGGCCATCTTGCCATTGAAATATAAGTCATCTGGCTAAGCTGAAGCTTGAAGACGTGCGCAGCGGGCTCAAAATGGCTTTAAAGGAGATTTTTGAAAGCTGGAAATGCAAATTCCTGCAACGAAAATTTCTCTTTGGGTGACCAGTCTGTTACATTCTATCACAAATTCGCGTCAACGCTACCTAACATAATGTGACATTATATAGCCAACATTGAGCAGGGTATTGTAACGTTCGTCCCCGGAATTTGCCCACCCGCGGTAGTGCTCCCCCCATTATGTCATAGCATTGTGATGATTGATAATCAGGTTACTAGTGAACTGTGAACTGCACCGCGGCGCTTTCCTGCATCGTCAGGAACAGAGCTTCTTGCACTGCGGTAGCGATCGACTGGCTAGGCATAATGGTTCCTGTGCAGTCCTCGCTTTGCCTTTTTATTCCACAATTTCCCTGACAAAAAAGCGTCCACAGGTGTTCAAGGTCGCAGTTGACGCGTTGCACGCTATACTACGCCTCTTCCGCTCTGATGAATAAAGCGCTATCGCTAATGGATTATCCTTAATGATGTTACGCGGCTTGACCGCGGTTACGTAATACCTTTTTGTGAGTCCACTTTCCGGGGACGAATGTTACAGTATCCCTGAGCATTATGCCCCATAAAGGCCAACGGGGTTCTCATCATGGATTTCATGTTTACAGGTGAAGACATTTTTCATTTATGAAAATTCACGACTTTATTTTCACTAAGTTCAGTGCCACTGTCGCTGCTGAAGGTGCTGCTGTGGCTTACATAAACAGCTTCTTAATTCCTCCAGAACACTGAGGTACCATGAAAGGGAACTATCTAATCATTTAAAGATTAAAACCCTTTTGGCTGACACTCATGGCAGTGGTTATATGAATTAATATACAATGAAAAATGATGCAGCCATGTAGCAGTTATGTCTTAATGTGTGCTAGCTTTGGAGATAATCATTTTATATACATAATTACAGGATAAGGTGAATGCATCCAATGACTTTTTTAATGGGTCATTATTCTTGTCCGTGCGGAGGTC